ATTTGAAAATAACCCCTTGTTTGTTTTACCAGAGATGGTGTTCATTGCTGCAACGTCAACTCGGCCACCTAAGGCAGTTGAAAGAGCGAGTCTCTGTGTTGAAGCTACTTTCTCATTTCCATTACCTCGACGACTACCAGGATTATGAAGCGCGTTGAGTTCTAATTCGTCTTCAAGCCATTTTACAGAACTGACGACCTACAAAGAGCATTGCTCCATTAGGAAAAATTAAACTACAGAACATGTATCTCCTACGAGATGTAAGACTCAATATTCAGAGGGCTTATAATATGGTGACCAAATTAAAATCTAGACGGACTTACAAGGGGGGGAGTGCCTTGAGCAATCCGCTGAACAGCAAGAGCCCACTGAGTGTTCCACATGTAAGGCCCTCCCACAGCTTGCAAAGCAACTGCACTCATGCTTCCCGCACTGCTCACTGAATTGGAGGTTGACTTCACTGCTGGTGTTGGAGCTTTCAAGATAGGAGGCGCTAAGCCAAAAAGGGCTATATAGAACCAGAGATTGCGGAACAACTTCAAAAGTGAGGGTTCCACATCCAAGGTAGGATCAAAATCCGAACATATTTCCGCAACTGCAGGAAGAAGAGGCCCTAAAAATTCCACACCACTCCTGGAAGAAAAGGAAGCACGCAGTAAATATTCCAGTCAATGTGAAGAGAAAAAAAAAACTTTACGGTGGAGAAACATTAACTGGATTTAATTCATTTTTAACGTTAACAACATGAACACAACATTGGTCCTTCATGCAATACTTAGCCCTTGCTTAGCCAGCAAAAGCTGCTGTCATAAGATTTCTCGTAATTTGCACAGATTTTCTCATGCCCAAATATTTTATTCAACAGAGAACAGTTGTTGAAGCTTTTAAGAATCTTATATTACTAGGCAGCTAAGAGATACAACCATAAACAGTGACAAAACTATGTTTATACAAGCTAAGATGATATGATTACCCGCCACTTTTAGACTCAGCAGCCAGGCCTACATCTGAACATAAGGAAAGCAAACGATGGCGATAGTCCGAACGCAATTTAGTATCAGTAAGACCACTGGCAATTGTAAGAAAACCTGCAGGAAGAGTCTACAGCAAAATTGTATCTGTGAGGATAAAACTAAATACAAACACAGAAAATTACCATGTATCAAATGACATATACCTCTACACGCTCAGTTGTGGCTTCTGGTGCTGATGTTTTACTTTCTACAGATCCTACACTCGATAGTTTGCTCAAGTAACTTCTGGTCATCAGAACTACTGTCTCACGGTAAGACTTCTCAAATCCTAATGTTGCTATGCGAGAAACAGCATCAAGAAGCTGCACAAAATTGGCATAGAATAAATATGTCAAAAAGTCAAATAATGGTAGCAATGATGGTAGCAGTGCCTGCCATTGCAAAAGTTCGAGAAAACATATACAGGATATCACGGTAGAAAATGAAACCATACTTGGAGTCGTAAAAAGCTAGGAGTCGAAGCATCACCCTCCTCCAGGCTTTCAATAAAAAGTGGCAAAATCATGTCTGCTACGTCGGGCTTCTTAACAGCTACATTGAGATCAGCAAGCAGCCGAATCACATTAAGCTGTACAGCAGGCACTTGCTTTTCTCTATCAACCTGGACACCAAATGATGAGCGTTATTGGAAAGGTGGAATGCCAATGCAACATAAAGAAGGCAAATTAATTAGGTAAGAGCAAGGTAATATTATTTATCCAGGTTGAGCGAAAGTTTTAGAATGACCTGTTCTTCGTAATCATTTCTTTCACGGATACTTGAGGCTAACCCCATAATGAAGGTGTCCACTGGAGCTCGGTCCTTGGCCCAGCCAGATTCAATAATCTCACAACTAGTCTTAAATACGCTCTCAAGCATAGCCCCTTGATTGCTCATCCAAGTATCAGGCTGTTCCAGCAGACAACAGAAATAAATAGAAACTTTTTTCAGTATTTTAAAGTCAAAAAACGATCTTTAATCTGTCCAGACTTGTGAGATGATGTGTTCCATAATTCTATGGACCACCAGACACGATGGAAATACTCATCAATAAAGTAGAATATGTTGCTAATATGAGTAACAAAACAAAATTACCTGTGCACATACAGCCAGTACCAGTGGTTTAAGTCGGATGAGCAACACACGAAGTGGCTGCCCTCCTCTTGCCACTGCAATCTTCGCAATTCCAGAAAGAAGAGAACCGAACAGCTCTTCACAGGCCTTCATTTTCCGCCACACAGATGTCAAGCAGGCATCTGCAGCATCTAATAGCAATGCAAGAGTCTCCAGGACCAACCTTTTAGAAGTTTTTCCGTCTGTTTCAAGAGACACCAAACTCTTGATTTTCATTTTCGCTGCAGCCTGATAAACAGACAGTTTGGCATTGACTCTGGTTTTCAGAACTGGGCCTTGTTCGTTCCAGTCTCGCTTTCTTGACTGTAAAACAGAAGACAGACACAGAGTCATCGTCTCTTCTAATAAATTCATTAGCCCACTCAAGATCCGCAGGGTAAGCACCATCGTACCAAAGTACCAACCATCATGAAAACATGAAAGATTTTCACTGTAAAAGGGACTATCAACCAACGATTGCTTCACCTAGACATCTTGTCTCTAGCATTCCTAATAAAGGGCTTAATCTAGATATCCATACTCCACTCAACATCCGCATGGTAAGCACCATCATACCAACCCTCATGAAAACATGCCAACTTTTTACAGTAAAAGGGATTACCAACCAACGATTGCTTCACCTCGAAATCTTGTTTCTAGCATTCCTAGTAGAGGGGCCTAATGTACCATATTTTACTACCAAAAAAAGCATTACCTTCAGAAATGCAGACATGGACTGGAGCTGCCTCTTCGCAATAAATCTGACTTGATCCTGAAGTTTAGAATCAATTTTGACTTTCTCCAAGATATGGGTTATCAATCTAAAGGCAATCTCTTGCTTCTCCAAGCTCTCGATGGATTCATCCTCAAAAGTAGCCACTTGTTGTCTAAACACAGGGTTAGAGCCTCCACTCCCTTCGCTAAATCCGAAACTCAGCTGATCAACACCACTCTTCCACACTATACTACCCCCGTTGACCACGACAGACGAGGAACTCTTAGACATGGTCGACCCATTGCTAGCAACTTCGTCACCAGGACTTGACTCCTCAGTTTTTCCCGAGGGATAACGGTTCGTACTGATAGGTGAGCTCTGGGACGACGAAGTTTCAGAGTTCGCCGAGTTCTGTTGCCGCTGTTCCTTGGGAGACGCAGGAGCACGGTTCACAACAAACTGGTCGAGCAGCATTGTTATCAATTTATCCCCATCAGACTGCAGAATCGACGGGAAGTTCTGAGAAAGCGCGACCAAGAAAGCCTTGGAAATTGATGGATCCCCGTCGCTCTCACCGCAACTCGTGGCGGCTATCACGACCTCCCCTGTAAACCTGGCAACCTCGGTGCCGAATTCCGGCGATAGATCCGCGGCGCACGAAAGGTAGCTCAAGAAATCACAATAGAAAGAAGAGATCGACTGCGACGGGAACGAATGTGGCCAAAACGAACGACGGAACGACGCGGGCACGGCGCTGAAGAAGTCATTGACGACGGATTTTGCACGGTTATCGGTTGATTCTGGGTTCTTCGAGATGATCCGAGCGACGGCCAAAACCGCGTTGAGATGGCTACGAGAAACCCTGGGTGATTCGGCGAGGAGCCATTCCGTTTGAGGACAACGGCCGCATATCCAAGCCAATTTCTCCGAGAATTGCTTCGGATTCTCCGCTATAATGTCGCAAAGCTCCGTCAATGCCTCCATCTCCGATCAAAAACAACGACGGAAAAAAATAACAACCAAATTAGCTGGGAAAAGGGAAATTCCGCGATCAGATCTGCCTGAAGACGGAGTCAAAATCTCGTATGATCCACCATGGACGGAGAAATGAAAAATTGTGAGTGTGGAAAATGGTTTAGAATCAAAGTTTCTCAATTCGTGCCTCTGTGTAGGAAGGAGAAGCAGCCATGGAAGGGCTTATAGGTTCATTGTGACGTCGCCTGAGTCGCCATTCGTTTTGTCTCTTTCCTTTTTTTTTCTCTATTTTCTTCGCTTTTGGGCTTAATAATTTTGTCCGTTGTGGAGGATATTCAACAGGGTAAATGTGTAAATATCACAAGGTTCTTGGAGCAAATCGGTTCAACCGGTTTGAACCATAACGAGCATTACACTACAAAAAAAAAATCTAATCAAAATCTTAATCGACGTTAAATTCGGAATTCGGTATATATTCAAATGATGCGGCTACTCATTATGAAGATTAATTATCGTGGATAGCCTTTAGATGAAAGCTTTAATGAAAAATAGTTTACGATGTTGCGAATGAATATTGTAAAAGGGGAGACATCTGAATACTTAAAAAACATGCATCCCATGTTCATACTTTGGGCTAAGAAAGAGTCAGTGAGCTGACTATTTTACCTTTTGTCGACTGAAAAATAAAATCTATCCCTAGTATCTACTTTTTGTTGACAATTTAATGAGATATCATGATAATTATTAGAAAATTGGAGAGTATTCAAAAATTAATTTAAAATAATTGTATCGAGTGATATAAATATCTGGAAATCAGAGATTATCCACAAATTAATTTTAAATTTGGGATTTAAAAATTAAAAAACTGTTAGACTTAGATCAGTTGATAAGATTCTAAATATCTTCTTATAAACAAAAATTACAAACAAAAAAAAATTGAGATACGTCAAAGAAAAATCAAATCATAACAAACACCATAATACATATATTAATGAGATATTAAGTCAAAGTCCTGAGAAAACACACACGACGAAACGACAAAGGGATAATCAATGCAATGCAATTGCATTTTTACACCCAATTATTCACACAAAATCCACCTAGAAGACAACAATCCAAACGAACTTTTGATGATAACTTCCACCAAAAGTAATCAAAACCCAGAAGAAGATAGAATCTCAAACTCACCGCTTAGAGCTATCACGGTTAAAGAGCTCACCGTTAGGCTTAAGCATCTTGCAAAGACCCAGATACGTCAAGTAAAGCACACGATCTTTAGCTCCAGTCCTGTGACTCTTGCAATGTTTACAGAAATTCTTGAGCTGCTCCAATGTACAATAACCCAAAGTTTGTCCCAAAAGCAAAAACAACCAATTAATCTTATGCTTACGTTCTGCAATCACCGGTTTCACCGCCTTATCCCTGCCACAGAGCTCGCATCTCGCCGCCTCCGGGTTCGTCCAATTCGGAGGAGCTCGTTCTCTCATTATCCTTTTGTACGCCGCGAAAATGTTCTCGACCTCCGTGAATTTCTCCCTCAGATTGTAACTCACCTGATACACTTTCTCACAGTGCTTGCATTGAACCTCTCCAGTGATTGTAGTGATCTGTTTCGATTCGAGATTCTCCATGCTTTGTATCCTCCCTCGTATATTCGTCGCCCATGGAAACGGCGGCGGAATCGTATCGTCTTTCCGATTCCCGCTGGACTGTGATCTGTAACCTCGCCGTGACTCAACCGCGGAGGTTATCGGTCTCACCGGTCTCGCCGAGGTTTGATTATTCGACGGAGGAGCGAAAGCTGAGTGCGGGAAGAAATCAATCGACGGATTAAACGGTGGCTGCATCTGTGACGATCCTCGAGATCCAGTCTGGTAGAAAGACGGAGCCATTAACGGCGGCGACGTCATGAAATACCGATGAGGCTGCGAAGCGAACCGCGCCGTGAAATCAGTTGACGGCCACGTTGTCATAGGCCGAGCAAAAGACGGTGGTGGTGCTACATGAAGCGGTGGCGTCGTCGTCGGCGAGATCTGAGAGGAATAATATGATGCTGGGCCTAAGCTTAGAGAAAGAGGAAGGGGTGCGTCGTCGTCATCCTGTGCGGCGTCGATTCGAGGTTCGTTTGCTTGACGGCGACGATTCGTTGTCCGATCGTCTTCCCCGTCGATCTGACGAGCTCTTCTCCTCTGATTACCTCCCTTCGCGTCGTCGTTCATGGCTTTTTTTGGGGGAAGAAAAACGACGGAAAATCACGGAAATGGTGGAGAGGAATCAAACAACTTAGGGTTTCCGTACGAAACCAAAAGAGGAAAAAGTTTATCAGACAGAAAAAAAAATGGCGTCAGTGTTTTTTGTGTGCGTCGTGGTCACTGTGATTCGTAATGGGGAAGCAATAAAACGACGAGAAAGTAGGAGAGAGGGAGAGAGAGAGAAAACGAGAGAAAATGGTGAGAAAGGAGAGAGAGGGAGAGAAAAGAGAGGAAAAGTTAAAATGCGGAGAAGAGGAGAATCTTTTCTGTTATGCATCGGCTCGCATCTACTTGATTTTTTTCTCTCCATAATAGCCGTTTGGGACTAGTAACAGAGATCTAGATATTTCGGTATAAACCCTCATAACTTTGATTATTTTAGAATGCTTCCAAATACTTTTTTCTCTTTTTTTTTTTCCTAAGAATGTATACAAAAATTCATTGAATATGAAATGTTCAGGCTATGAATATGAATGACATTGTAACAAAAAACAAAACAAATTTCGATCAATTGTTCAGTTGCTTAAGCTTTATAGCTCACAATATGGAGAGGAAGAGATAATATTTTTGAAAACCGAGTAAATAAATCGAGATAAGATCGGATAACAACAACTTGAAAATTACTTGAAAACATTCCTCCGCAACTGAACAATTGCGAGTCTTCAAATTTTTTCACGCACTCTGAGAAAATTAGTGTCATCATTCTAAACCATGTCCATCGCTATATATCCATTAATTAAAGTCTCTTATCTTTTTTTTAATATTAAATTGGGTTTAGAGATCCAAATAAGAAATTCTTTTGTTTTGTAAGTCCAATGCTATATATCCATTTGGGGTTTGTGTCGGGAAAAAATAATGGAAAGAATGAAAAAAAAAAATTCCCCACACAATTTGATAACACAATCATGAGTTACCATCATTTTTTGAAAACCGAGTAAATAAATAGAGATAAGATCAGATCAGATAACAGCTTGAAATACTTGAAAACATTTCTCTGCATATCAAAAGCTTTTTCACTTTCACTGGCATTCAGAGAAAAGTAGTGTCATCATTCTAAGAATCTTTAAAACTAATGTTTAAGACCGCCCTCAATGATATACAAAAGTATTGTATAATTTGTTGAAAATATAATTTAAGAACAAAATTGAAATTGAAGTTAAAATTGTGGATTAATGAGATATTTGCACAAACAATGAATTTTCAAGTTTTTTTTTATTGTTTTTACTAAATCTGTAAATCTTATTTTTTTGCAATCTTAACAAACAATAGATGGTGGTAAAAACACTAAAATGCAACTGTCGTTCAATCTTAGAAACGTCCTCCCTCCGAAAGACTAAAATGCAACTTTAATGCCTCTTTTATCCCCTCTTCGGGACAGGCTACAAGTGGCTGGGTTGTTCGTAATGACAATAGAAGTGCGGTATATTGGGATTCTGTCAAGTTGGGAAGAGTCACTTCGGCTTTGGAGGCGGAAGGCTTGGCGCTTTATCAGCAGTGCACAACATCAGAATTTGGGATTCAAGACATAATTTTTGAAGGAGATAACATATCTCTAATCAAAAATCTCAATATGGAGGAAAAGGACTACACCATTCATAATTTGTGTTTGGAAATAAAACATTGGGCAAAGTCTTTCCAACGGTTCCACTTTACTCACATTCGTCGTGCTTTCAATGAGGTCGCTCAAGCATCATCATTCTTCAGATTTTTATTCTAGTCGTGTGTACCCACCTCGGTGGCTTGCTAACCATCTTCATATGAATTATGTAACTTCAATAACTCAAGTTTAATAAAGCTAATTTCGTCCAAAAAAAAAACACTAACCTCATTTCAAACTTTTAATACTGTTAGATATAGCTATTTTTTAGATCTCATGTTCGATTATGTATTATTTCATTTCAGCATTCGTTTCTTTGACCCCAAAAAGAAAAAAAAAAGAGAATGTCTTAATCTTTGAATTGTTATAAACGTTCGTACATTGATAATGTGTATTGTATATTTCTTACAAAATTTGTATCTGGTTTACACTGACTATGAGTCTATGTGTCATCTAAATATATGGACTAAGGGTAATTAATATGCTTTCGATTGTGGGAAATTCTATGAATTTTTTCATAAAATCTTAACGCTGAAACAAAAACTTGTAAGAAATTAGAGTCGAATAGATGATGTATTTATCAATTTATTCATATAAAATATTCCTGAAAATATTTGCAATATCACGCAAATTTGAAAAAACTTAGTCCCCAAGTTGCAAAAAAATACGAAGAGTGGGCTAAGTCTGGCCTTGAAAGCCCAAACATGCGAGTACGTCTGGCCTTAATTTCCGACTACATATGTAAATGCCAATTTTATGATCAACTAGTTAAACGACGATGTAAAATTGTAAATGTTGGAAGTGATTGGTCTCCACATAGTTACTTTTTGTAGATTGTTTCTGTGAAATTGACTATAAGAATTTCGATGTAACTTTGTTTTGATTAACTGTGACTGTAACTGTTTTTAAAAATTATAGTAAGAATTAATATAGCTAGTGATCGTCGGTTAAATTAGTATTATGCAAGAAATCCTTAAATCTTGTCAAATTCTTCTGACATTTTTTTGTTATCTTGTCAAGGAACGTGATCGTCGGGGGTGTAAGTGTCATTTACATACTATTTATAGACTAATAAGGATAGTTGTATTTTCGCACACCGAAATTCATCTCGACCCAAAACTCGAAAACTTATAGACCGTTCAATCTCGTGGACCAAAAAACTACACACTTTATAAATTATATAATTATACTTATAGTATTATATCAGGACATGAGATATATGTTACATTGTAGTAGTATTTTCAAGTTAGAAGCTGCAAGTCACACACAAGAGGCGATACCAAAGCATACAAGAGTGTCTTTTTCTCCCTTTCAAACCATAGTTATTCCAAGACACAGACTCACATTATATATAAAGCTAAGCTTCTTAATCTACTTTGTCAACCACACAATGTTATCAAGAGGGAAGAAGTGGCAAACCGGTGCGGTTCCTGGTTCGATCTTCAACACCTTAAAAGCTACATGATCAGTGTTCCACATAGACGTGTCCATGTGGCAGACAGCTGGTCCAACGACTCGCTGTCTCCCATTGTCTGACACAAGATTAACCTCAAAGACTCTGCTTCCACTTTTGTGACCATGGCAATAGTAAACAGCATAAGGGTATGGCATTCTGTGACATCCCAACATCTTCACCCCAAAAAGCTCCTTAGGAGCCTCCACGAATGTATAGTTATGCAAAGCGTAGCTTACTGTGTTTTGGGTCGGTACCGTTACTTTAGTCGTCATGACCTTGAGATCAGCATTAGACCCTATTGTTTCCTTCACAAGATCAAGCATTGACTCTAAAGAAGTCCCACAAAACTTAAGTTGTCCTTCCATAGGTTTGTAATTACAACGTTCCAATGTCTCCTTCATGGCTTTCCCTTGAGGAGAGTCTTTGGAGATAGAGAAGTGGCTGAGAAGGAAGTCAAGCTTTGAAGTAGTGAAAGGGATGAGATCAGCTTCTTGTCTTGTGATAAGTGGAGGAAGTTTTTGAGGATCGTCTTTGTTGAAGAAAATGGGTAATTTGCTTCCTGATTTGAGATCATATTTGAGATCATTGATTCTGAAGAACATGTACAATGAAGGATCATCGAATTCACCATCTTTGAGCAAATGACTTATAGTTTGATCTTCTTCTTCCTTGATTGATATCAGCTTTCTTGACGTGTGTACCTCCACGACCCACTATCAAAGAAAAAGATTCAAGATATTTAGAAACGAAAAAGTCTAAAATTCTATATAAAAACAAAATCTTTTCAATTTTACAAATTTTTTTAATAATATGTTTCCCAATTTGTTTTCTAACAATGTGGTAAGAACCATGATACATAAACTTATGCAAATTAAGCTACAAACTATTCCATGAATATGTTGTAAGCTTCTTATAGTATTTGCAATCAAAATTCTTATAGTATTAGTTACTTTTTATCCAATTGAAAAAATTGATTTTTTCTTAAAATAATGCAGTAAGAGCCATGATGCATAAACTTATGAAAACTTCTGCCACAAATACGAATTATCTGGTGATGTTGCAGGTTTTCATTGCATCTATATACTTTTTTATCCGATTCAAGAAGCAGCCCAAGAATATATAACGCTTTCAGTGATCAAAGCAATATATAAAACACACATATACACGTATAGAGAGGTACATAAACATACCAGAGAGAAGAGGAGGGTGAGGAAGGTGACAGAGAATCGCAAAGTAGAAGCCATGGATTTTTTTTTTTCTCTGTGGAGAGAAATGAGTTTCTCCTTCTTCTAAATGTTGACTTTTTATTTTTAAAGGATGAGCAATTTTTTTAAAGTATTCAAGTGATCTTAGATCTCAATGAAGTATGAACACCCATCTTCTCTACATATTTATAATAATAAATCTAAGCTGATTCTGACTTATTCATTATTTTTATTTCAGTGGTTTTTCAATTATTAGTTTACACATAAATTAAGTAGACTGTTAGCAATTTTAAATACTATTTGATTTGTACTACTACTTATTGTGAAGCCTGCAGCTTCTCTTTTTATCTTTTTTCTTTTTTGAAAAGCCTGCATTTTCTTACATCGTCATCTAATTTGAAACGGTAAAAGATACGAGATTAAATAATCCGATGTTATCCCAAAGAGATTGGTTCGATTGATTCTGCTATACAAACGAAATACTTCATGGTTCGTCATTTACGTCGTCATGGAAAACAACTAATAAGTAAATAATTAAATCTTGTTTTGTATAGTATTACTCTCTCTCTCTCTCTCTCTCTCTCTCTCTCTCTCTCTCTCTCTCTCTCTCTCTCATTTCTCCTTAGATTTTCTAGGTTCTTGATTTTCTAGATTTTAAATGCATTTTTATTGATTAATTGTTAACTGTAAAAAATATTTACTAAAATATCTGAATTCTTTAATTACTATTGGTTTTTTTTGTCATCAAGTATTTTTTGCTTAGTAACTTTGGAAAAACGTGTAAAGTGAGATTTTTTAAAAAACTTCTTAAAGTGAGAAAACTATATTTTGACAAAATATTAAATACTCTTAATTGTTTGAAAACTCTTAAAATCATTCTTACAAAACAAAGGGATTAATTAGAAATAGAGCTCTAGAGTAATCTACAGATAATAAAATTTTAACTGAAAAAGGATACTCAAACACATATATATTTAAGATCATATTTTATATTGAATGCTTCTGGTTTACAATTTTGAAATATAGAACAAAGTCATTCTCACACGAAGTCTTGTGCTACTCTTCAATAAATCTTTGTTTGACAATGTGAATTGTTAGAAAACTCTTGAAATCATTCTTACAAAACAAATGGATTAATTAGAAATAGAACTCTAGAGTAATCTACAGATAGTAAAATTTTAACTTAAAAAGGATACTCAAACACATATATATTTGGGATCACATTTTATATTGAATGCTTCTGGTTTTCAATTTTGAAATATAGAACAAAGTCATTCTCACACGAAGTCTTGTGCTACTCTTCAATTAATTTTTGTTTGACAGTGTGAATGGTATAGACCTTTGGCGAATTCAAAAGGACTAAAGCAATACAATTAAATTTTAAAATAAAAGTTAGACTAAAAAGTTTAAAAAAATACAAGAAGGCCATTGATCTTTCATTGAACTTAGTCGCAGCATCGCTGACCTATTTTTTTTTTTTTCATTATTACCAACCCACCATTTAAAATCTTTGACTGTAATGCATCACCAATTTAATTTTATCATTCGAATTCGCGCGAAACCAAGAAGAAAATTCAGAATGAATATTCATGTTCTTGGAATCTCTTCTTAGTAATATATGGATGTGTTTTTCTAATGGTTTTAAAAAAAAGTATTTGTTCGGTTTCATAAGTTTCAAAGAACCAAAACTATTTCAAATATATGATTTTTTCCACTTTTCATATTGTGCTAATTAAAAAATAAATGATAGTTTTTAAAAAATAAAAGGTATTTAATATGTATGCAAAAGAATTTTAAAATATTATAATAAAATGAAAGAATATAAAATAAAACAAATTGAAAAAAATTGAACGAGCCGACATTAGCCAAAAAAAAAAATTCCGGTTAAAAATCCGTTTTTTCAATAATATTGTTTCTGATTTTCTTTGTCTGACACATCCATATACTATAAAAATACAAACACATCCACTTATTATATTTTTATCATATATATTTTTAGTATATGGACGTGTCTTTTTAATATACAGTTACAATCATAATAATTGTTAATTTATGTAATTATTTCGAGTAAAAAATTGTCAAATCGATATTTATATTAAAATAAAAGGAATATGAATCTCTTAACACAGTGAATAACCATTAAACTAATGAACAATTATAGTTATAATATCGCCGTACAAAAAATGTTTAAGAAAAAAAAAACAGTACAAAAGAAAGATGTAATAGCTGTGCGTGATTGAGAAATCTAAAGTTGACTTTGCAATTACAAGGCGATACCAAGAAGTACACGTTTAAGTGGACTACTATACACATCGATCATCATTTCTAAAAGTAAAAGAAAAAAAGCATTAAAATTTAGACCGAACAATTAAGATATGCATGCATGACTTGATTGATCGCCACTTACTTGCTTCGTGTCGTTCGAAAAGATTTTCAATGCTAGGAAAAAAAATTCATTTAATTTACGTAAAATTAGCATAACTTTATTTTCACTTGGGAAAAATAAAAGATTTTTTTTTGTATTAAAGTGTTTTTTTACGTATCAAAGATTTAATCGTGTTATGTGAGTATTAAATCTGCATGAAACGTTTTGGTGACTGGCCTCTTGCATCAATATCATCCGAACGGTCTCATGTTCCTGTTCGACCATCGCGACTTCTTATTCAATAGCCATGGCCCATGAAGCTGGATAACTTAATTTCTAATGTAAGGCATATATGAACGACGAGAGACGCGATATGCATGCGTATCTATTGAAGTAGCTAATAATTATTAGCTGATCAGGTATGCTTAATTGCTTCGGGAACATGTGCTAGAGACACTAGATGCGTCGAATTTACAAGTCATGTGGCTCATGCAAAAAGGTTGAGTATAGTGACTGGCCTCTCTATCCAAAATTTGGTGATCCGGTATCCAAACTTAAAATTCTAGTTGGAAAATCCAAAAGTCTATTTTTATGCGATATAGTGTTCGAGATAGTGTTCTTGTGTGCACTATATAATAATTTTCTTTACCCTCTACATCATTTATAATATACTTTTTAATTTGAGCTATTCAATTGTAAATGATGATCTATGGTTCTATACCAACATAAAATTCCTCTAATAGAAACTTTTCATCTGCTGATCTACACCACAATTAATCAGAAAAGATAAAATCATTCAAATTATAAATCTTATCTATACTTTTTATTAATAAGACCCCATAATATATAAATCTAACAAAAATTCAATATCCACTTATGAGAAGCACTAAGATCAGCTTTTTCTTTATGACTTTCTTTCCAAAGCTAAGCTGGTAGTCATGATTATCCATTTTCTAATTCGAAAGTAGTATAAGCGGTTTCTAATCTTTAGACAAATTTTTAAAAGTTAGCTAAGATAAAACGATTTGAAAGTATGAGTGTACTTGGCCAAACACCGTAGTGTGTTGAGATCATAACAAGATTAATAATATTTTATTAACGTTCAAATTATCACCATCACAATACATCATTGCTTCAGTATTCATAGAATGGAGAGGATCAACTTCAAAATTAATGGTGGGGTCTTGTTAAGCCATTGTCTCCAACCAATTAAGCAGTTAGGTTATTTGTGCACTCTACTGGTTGCCAAACCATTTTCTTAATTCATAATGGTGTAATTTTTATTTATATATATATATATATATATGTGACTAGATAAGACGTGGTTTTGATTTTATCAGTAAATTTTCTAAATTATAGATCTAATATGAAATCTCTAGATAATAAGAAACTATCTGTATTTCAAAATCTTTCAGTACAGAATTTTGGTTTTACTTATGAATAAGACGCACTGCAATAGCAAACATAATTTCTATCTAATTGTTTTAATGTTAAATCATTTTTATTGTTACTTTGAACTTCAAGATCATGTATCAGTTATTTCTTAGCTCATATTCATGCTGAATAGAATGAAAAAAATTATTGCATAAAACCTAGATTTACGATTATGAGGTTGTTCTAATATCGGATGAAATTTGGATAAATCCAAGTAACATGAGGAAGACAAACATTTTTTTTTTTTTGTCGTCGGAAGACAAACACTTCGAAAGAGATCCTGATAAGGACCACTTCCATTTGAGACAATTGGCCATAAATAAATTTAAAATACATTAATAATGTTCTAAAAGTAGGGCTATGTGTCGTATAGCAAATGTGCACACACATCGAAAGTTGACCCGCTATACTTGTTCATACTTAAACAATATGGAGTATTTTTTTGGGTTAAATCCAACTTTTGGCCTGTTCATTTCATTACTTAAAATAACCCTCACGGAGTAAAGCCAACATATTCTTCTTGTGGGGCCAAAATTTTAAAAGGAGAAAAAACATTTTTACATTTTTTATCACCGAATTTAAAATCATCAGAGTAAACCAACATAAAATCTAACCAACGATGTCAGTATGTCACTATCCTCAAAATAGAGAATCAGAAAAAACATTTAACAAATATACGAATAGCAACCTTAAAAATTTAAGGAAAACTTTGTTTTGCAAATAAAAAAGAACTAGCATTTGTGATTTACAGTAAAAAATCTATAAATTAATAATGTTAGAACTTTAGTATTTTATTAATTTATAGAATTATTAATTTATAGATTTTTAATAAAAAATAATTTTTTTTATTAATTTTAAAGGGATTTTTTAAATATTTTACTCTTTAAAACATTTTTTCTAAAATTAAAGATAAGTTACAAGAAATTTAAAATTTAAAATAAATAAAAATTTCACTAAACTCATATTTTAATATATTATCTTACTTATATATTTATATTAAATTTTATTTATGGTAATTATTTATTTATAATTTTAATAAGACCATATATTTACATAAAAGTTTTGTTAATATATATATACTTATTGTGTAGTGATTTGCTTATGTGTCGCGCTCACAGCGAGTTTAACAACTTTTCACTTACGTGTCAGTTTCAAAATGAATTTCGGCTGCAAAAATACCGATTAGCCCCAACTTGTAATTACATGTTATTTTTTTATTGGTTTTTATGTGATGATGTATAAAAAACTTAAAACAAATTGGTCTAAATTATTATGGTTTAATACTTAATTTCACAGTCAATCAAACCGTTTTTAAAATTATATAAACTAAAATTTATAAAAATTTTAACAAAAATATTTAGAAAAAAATAGAATCTATATCTCTTATGGAATGGTGTATAAAACCCATCGACTATTTAAAAAAAAAAGATCTAGGTTAGTGTTTCGATAGTTATAATATATAGGTTAGTGTTTACTATTTCTTATGTATCCGAAATTTAGAAAAAATCTAACAAAAATGTTAAAAGAAACAAAAAATAGAATCTATTTAAAAAGTAATAGACTGTCGTTTCAAAAAAAAAATATCAAAATTTTTAAAAATATCTAATAAAAAGTTTAAAAAAAAAAGAATATATAAATATTATGATAGATAGGTTAGTGTTAAGAAAATCATCTATAACTAATGAAATGTCGCTAATTATTATGATAGATAGGTTAGTGTTTACAATTTCCTATGTTTATAGGGTTTTCAATTTCTTATTATTTAGTATAAATATCAGCCACTTTTCTCTAATTCTCTCACAACTTTCAAACCTATTCTTTCATTCTTCGTTCTAACTAAAAACTCATAGAGTCATTAGATAAACATATATTAATGTTTTTTTAAACAAGTATAAAATAAGAAATAACTTATCGATATAAATTATTATTGTTTAATACTTCACTTTATTGTCAATACCGTTTTCAAATTTAATAAAATTGATAATTAATCAAGTCTAACGAAAAAGTAAAAAATCAATCAATTGAATGTCTAATGAAATGATAGTATTTATGATGTTTAAAATACATAAAACAGTTATCAAAATCGAATAAATTTGTACGATACTTAAAAACACTACGTCTAAAATACATAGAACAATGATCAAAAGATCTCAAAACTATTTAAACTAAATTATTTGGATACTAATATATTTTTATTTACTCTCTTTTATATTATTTTCATGATCATGTTTTCAAACGTTAAAATGCAAAGAAATCTAACAAACAAATATACTCAACAGTAGAGAATAATAAAACAAATGAATCCAAACTACTATTAAATTTCTAAATAACCAAATGAAAAATTATATCAACCCGCGCAAGACACGGAAAAGTTAACTAGTTATTATTTTATTATCTTATCGGTTTGTATTAAATTTTGAACTGACCCAACTTGAAACCTGAAAAATTTATTAATTTATAAAATTTATTAATTTATCAAATAGTAATTTATAGAGTTTCTACTTATTGTAAATATTAGAAAACAGACAACAACAAAAAAATTAGAAAACATCTTTGAGTACACTGCACACCCATACTTTTTAGTGCTTAGTTTTGAATTTTCTAATACCAAGTGTTTCACAAAAAAAAATTTAGTGGAACTGTAGTTGCGATATATAATTTATGTTGTACCTATCCTTCTTATCTAATCACGGAATCTTCTTATATAATTAAGTACTCGAAAATTAATCATCGAATTCTTCTATGTTCTATGCAATTCTATAAGTCTTATATATACTTAATACATATAAAAGATGTTGGTGTTGCTATCTGACCTGTAATAGTTGATTGCTCCAGAGAAGAATAGACAAAATCCTTAATCAAGCGGCCTACCACTCGGAAATTTGGATAAACATAAAAAATTAGTTTACAATATGATATTACTATAAATATACACAGTACAAAGTTGACCTTACAATGTAGTATTTAATGATTTTCAACTAAAAAATAAAATACAAGGAGAGAGGAATTTATATATATTATCAAGAAAACAACTTCCTCTAAAAAGGGTCTCTATATATATAAACTTAGCACCTTAAGATTTAACATAGATCAAGAAAAAAAATCCCTCAAACAACAAAACAAAAGTTAAAAGACATGAAGCAACAACGTTACTTGGTCGTCTTCTTCTTTGTCCTTTTCAGCTTTCTCCTGGTAAAGCAATTTTCATAGTAAAGACCTAATTATTCAAGATCTGATTTATACATGTATTTTAAAGTCAATGCTATATTTTGTTTGTATAGTTTGTGAATCTGAGTGAAGGAAGATCAGGAGGAGTTGCAGAGGAATATTGGAAGAAGGTGATGAAGAATGAGCCACTACCTGAACCAATCAAGGAGCTTCTCAACAATCCATTTAGGACAGCAAAAGAGAGATTCGTCAAGAACTTCAACACCAAATCTATCGTCATCATCTACCACAATCCTAATGTATAAGTCATTCTCAAAAATATATGACTAATGGCTCTGTGTTTATGTATGTATCGGTTTATACAAGCACGTACATGTGTGTAATAATTAAGTAAAGAACAGCTGCTTAAGTTGTTTAAGTATAACTGAAGAAATGTTAACCCTAGCGATAAGGGACTTTTTCTAACCATTAATGTGAGTCTTTGTGTGGTAATGGGCTAATGGCTTGACGTTTTTTGTTTATATATAAATAATAAATTAATCTATGGTGGTTTGCCTTTTGTGTCTTTTTCTTACATTTTGTGAATCTATCTAGGTCGAAAATAAAATTCTAGTTATAAACAATGAAAGAGATGGTCAGTTGTTTTAGATAATTACCGTAACTTACCTCTAAGTGATTTTTTTTTGTTTGAAGATCTCTAAGTGATTTTTTGACGTCTCTTAATGAAAAGCTATCGAAAGAACTGTAAAATCGTATTTGATCAATTTATTTTCATATATTATTTTCTCGAATTCTTTTTTTATTAGATCTTTCACTTACAATTGAATCTAATGATTTGAAAACAAAGTTGTAGAATATCAAATTCACTAACTTTATATAATAATAAAACCATAAAAAATGTAGGTTACATACCCAAATGTAATTAGTTTTTCCAACAAATGTATTTATTATTTAGTTTAATATAATTATTTATTTATAAGATATGTGTTTAGGTAGTCGCTGTCAACATTACGATAAATTAAATAAATTAGTCATCCGTAAAGTTAAAAACTAAGTAAGAAAAAAAAGGAACTCATAAAGTCTTTTCATAAATGTACTGGACAACAATAAAACGTTATTAATGTAGAAAAAAGAGATCCATAATATACGGCCACAAACACTAACGAGTCCAATTCGGGTTTTTACTTTTTTTATTTATTTATTACGGTAATACTTAAAAAAAAAAATTTACCGCAAGAACAACAAATTTACACAATAGGGTAAAAACCTCAGCGGGAGAGATAACTGGTGGTGAAAGTAGCAGAGGAAAAAGAATCCATTTAGCATTCACATCCTGTTGACCTCTGTGGATTGCTGATTCCAACATCAATGGTGTCTGGCAAGTACCTAAGACCAAATATCAACAAGTTTCAGACAGAAGCTCGAACCCATTAACCCAAGAAAACAAAAACAAATAAAAAAGAAGCATAAGCAGAGTAACCCGTGATTGCGATTGCGTGTTTTAACTTACATTTCTTCCTCTTCTCCACTCTTCATTGCGTTCTTGGTAATACACAAGAACGCGTCTTCTACATTGGTGCCTTCTTTGGCAGAAGTTTCATAGTAAGGAATGTTTCCTTTTGAAGCACACCAAGCACGAGCCTTCTTCTCTGAAACCTGAAAAAAATCAAGAAAAGTGATTGGAAACAACGCAGAGAGATTTCAACTTTCAAGGATATTCATGTATATATAATTAACATGGAGATTATATACGTACCACCCGGCTGTTTCCACCATCCACATCGATCTTATTACCGATAACAACAAAGGGAAAGTTCTCTGGATCCGAAGGACTTGCCTGAACATTACATTAGAAAAGCATTTAATCAGAATTATTTTCTTGGAAAAAAAATGAAGATGTGGGAGAAGAGCATGAATCTATCTATATACATACCTGGATCAGAAACTCTTCCCTCCAGTTGTTGAGATCCTCAAATGATTTTGCGGAATTGACATCATATACAAGTACACAGCAATCAGCACCGCGATAAAACGCTACACCAAGGCTTTGGAACCTTTCCTGACCAGCCGTGTCCCATATCTGTAAATACAAAAGCAAGACCTTAGCTCTTAATGATCAAAGCAAAGAACGCAACACAGAGTACCAACCCATTTTTGTGTTTTCCTATCTACGATCATGCCCAAGCATATCCTTTTAAGAATCACATTGGAAACCAGTATTAACCGTTCCAATATTGGAATGATCACGATATATATTAGCAACTGCCTATCATTTGATTGGGATGAGATTGCAGAGGACTTAATTTCCTTCAAAAAGTTAAGCAGACACTGATCAAAAAGATCAGCTTGAAGCTCATAAACTAATCAACTCTATTCTCCAGTTTTACCTCTGCCAAATAGGAGTCAAACTCATACCAAAGTGCAATCTACCCAAAGAAAAAGTGGAAGTAGTTTCCTTATAAATAGCAGCTGCTACAACAAACCTGTAAAGTGAAAAGTCGGTCTTCAAATTGTACTTCCTTCGTCAAGAAATCGGCTCCAATGGTCGCCTTGTACTGATTGCTGAACTTTTTGTTAACATATCTGAAGGAGTAATTGTAAAAGTGAAACAAGTAGGGAAGATAACACGCCATAACATAACCATAAGACAGAGACCAAAGAACGTAATCATTCCATATTGAGAGAAACCATTGTATCATCCTCTAAACTTCATTCACACACAATTCAGGATACTGATTCATCAAAGAGGTCTTCCCAACCCTGCAAAATCACAAATTCAAAAATGCACAATGAGTCTTAGCTTGACTAAACAAGACCAAAATAGATGTTTGAACTAATAATACAACTGCAGATAGCTCGACAGCTTCACTACTCATTACGACAGAGATATATCTGATTCAGAAACGTATTCACTCTAACCAAGAAGAGAATTAAGCCTAAAACAAGTTTAACAAACGAATTCTCCTTTGACTGGTAACACTTGGCCAAATGATTTTCTTATACAATTCTCACTTATAACAGCAGGATCAAACAAACGGCAAAACGAATATGATACAAGTCTTGGGTAAAGAAAAAAAATATTCGATTTTTCCCTGTCAAAAGACGAGAACACGAAACCTGAGAGAAACCACCAAGTAAACATCAAACATGACCTCAATAAGCACTTAAGAAGCAGCTTCACTTGAGGCTAATTCAACTAATTCACCATGTGATTAAGAACCTACGAGATTGCAAAATTTCTCCCCAATTGGTGGTATTTGAGAGCTAAGCAAATCTTTAAATTACAGCTTTATAGTTCAAATTCCAACAAAATACAGAAAAAAATTAAATTCAGAAGCGACAAAATCCAACCACCTAACCTAAGAGATTACCCCAATTCAGATCGAATCCAATCAAAAGTAAATTCACAAAATTTGACTTAAATCACCAAAATTCCGATCCGGGAAAAGTACCATCTTACTGATCAAGAAACACTAAATCACCCTGTAGAAGCAGATACATACACATATACAACATATACAGAGAGAGAGTGCAACAGACCCGCTATCGCCGAGGATGATGACTTTGAGGAGAGTTCTTCTACGGGAAGGCATCGAAATCAACGATGGAGGGTTCTCTCTCTCTCTCAACAAGCGTAAAAGCTCTGCGATTTCTCTGGTGTTTATGAAAGTCGGTGTTTGTTTTCTTCTTTCTTCTCTTCTCCTTGAACGCTGTTGCCGACCTGTATTTTAAAGAAAATAATAATACAAAAATTGAAAAACCTTGTCTGTATTTAATTATTTTAATTTTTTTTGGATATTACTAGTTGAATGTTTTGGTTTGTGGATAGCTCCCAAAAAAAATTATTTTATCAATGAAAGAAATACTATCAAGAATCAATTATATTATAGTTTTTTTCAAAAATAGCTCAACTGTAAAATAAAAATTATGAAATATAAAATATTAATCAAGTGGCAGTGGCTTAACGGTAAAATTTTTATCTTTTAAGATTGATTTCTATTATTATTTTTTTATTTTCGCTTAATCAATTAAAATATAACATATAAAATTCTGACATATAATTTTTTTAATGGCTAAATTCATCTTTGAATAATCAGTCGGATCCTGGTCAAAAACTTAAAAATCATTCTTTGTTAAGCCGGAAAAAAATTTTAATCAAACAAAAAATCTATTTTCTATATAAATAAGTTTCCTTAAATATTATAAAATGTTTAACCGTAAAAATTTAGTTATTAAATAAAAAATTGTAATAGATGTCAGACTTGGAATAATGAGTTCTTATTTTATTTTATAGCAATATTGATTTAAGGATCTTCCTTAAAGAAAGAAAAATTAAGGACAATGATGTGAGAAAAAGAAAAATAAGGGCTCCTTAACACAAAAAATAAACCTAAAAAATTAGGGTTGAGCGATGAGCGAAGGGTCATGATTAAACCACTAAAAAGATGCCAATCTCCTTTTTATTTCAGAAGGTTATGACTTTCAATGTAATTAATTAGAGACATTGAATGAGGAAAATCACAAAAAAGGAATTTATCCAATTCAAAAGAAAATTAAGGAAAATTAAGATCGCAACTCTTCACCAATTTGAATAAATCATCTTTATAATCTGTCTACAGACTCAAATCACATCGCCACCACCTCAAAACCCCAACAAAGCAACATCATGGCTTCTTCTTCTTCTTCTTCTTCTTCTTATTTTTCTTCATCTTACTCAAACACTGATCCTTCTTCGTCTTCAATGGGTGTAACAAGAGAAGAGTTCAATGCTTTCCACAAAATCGACAGAACCCTGTTCACACGTCTCGTCTTCGGTCTACACCGAGACATGAACCAATCTTCTCAAGTGATTGGTTTTCTCTTCTTGCTCGAGCAAATCGCTTACGCTCGCGACTTAATCGCGTTTCTGATCTCGTTACCAGACGCATTCATTGACGCGGTGGCTAACGAAATCGTTGTGTGTCTAACTCTCTTATACAACCAAAATTATTCAGCATTATTGGTTGCAGACAACAACGATGATAATTCGATTATACCTTTAATCATGAGTGTGACAGGAGGCAGGCTTACTCTCAGGTTCCTTCACCAAAACCGCGAGACTTTTCTCTTTGTGTTGGGAAAGAATTTGAACGATATTTGCAACAGGGCTTTCGAAGATTTGTTTGTGATAGCAGAGATGTACAACAAGGAGAGACTTTTGGCTTTAGAGACAGAGAAAATCATTGAGGAGATGAAGAAAATCAGATTGGGTGTTCAACAAGAAACCGTTAATAGATTGAGTGTTCAACAAGAAAGGGCTTCTACTCCTTCTTCTTCTGTTACAGAAGCAACAAGAAAGATCAATGCAGAGACAGAGGAGGCAGAGAAGGAAGAGAACAAGGAAGAGGAGATCCCAGCTGATGATAGGACAGTTTTTCTGACTTTCTCTAAAGGATATCCGATTTCGGAAGAGGAAGTTAGGGTTTACTTTGAGAAGAAATTTGGGGAAGTGATAGAAGCGATACAGATGAAAGAAGTGAAAGAGGACGAGCAGCCGTTGTTTGCGAAGATGGTGTTGAAGATGCAATGTGCATCCAAGATTGAAGAGATTGTGAGGGCAAGGTGTAAAAATAAGTTCACTATTGACGGAAAACATGTTTGGGCTCGCAAATTCGTCCCCAAGAACCCTAATCCCCCTGCTTCCTTCTCCTCTTCGTATATATGACCATCTTCATCTCTTTAGTTTTTTTTTAGTTACTTACAAGTAGTATTTTTCTTAAAAAAAATCATCTTCGGAGATATAATATTTTACTAATTTTTCATGTATTTTTTTTTAATTGAATCTATTAATGCATTACCAAAAAATTGAAAGAATTTTTGACTTACAAGAAATACTGAAAAAAATTAAATACAAGAAAAAATATCTTACAAATATTAAGAATCTGATAGTCATAATTATCAAAAAAACTGATTTTTTTTAATCAAAATTGTTTACACTGTCATTTATTCCTGATATTAAAAGTAAAGTTACCACAAATACTCGTTGTTTACCAACAAAAAAAAAAGTTAAATATTCGTGGTATAATTTTCAGTGGTAAAAAAATAGAATTAACAATAAGAATAAAGGAACAAATAGCTTCTCGTAGTTCAGTTGGTTTAGAGGTACCCGTTTTAGTAAGCGGGAGGCCTTGGAGTTTCAAACTTCTCAACGAAAGGCATTTTCTAAACCAAATTTTTTTTAAAAAAAAAAACCAACAAAATGGTAGTTGCAAATTTTTTTTTTCCCTTAGGCTGTAAATCCCAAATATAGATGTAACAAAAAAAAATTCCCAACTTTTCTTAAAAATAGAATTAAACAAAAAAAAAAAGAGCTTCCTTGTTCCTAGGAACAGAGTTGGGTGTTAGATGTTTCATCTCACAATTACTTCGGATTGAAAACCACCGGAGAGAGAAAGAGAGAGATTATGGCGGAGGGGCAATCCCCGGAGAACTCACCGCCGGAACCTCCTCCCCCTTCTCCGTCGTCTCCCTCTTCCAACAATCAAACAACATCTCCTCCTCCTTCAGACAATCAAACAACACCTTCTCCTCCTCCTCCGTCTTCACCTCTAGCTCCTCCACCCCAACAACAACAACAACAAGAATCACCTCCTCCTCCTTCGCCGGAAAATTCCTCCAATGACTCTTCCTCTTCGCCTCCACCACCACCGTCTGAATCACAATCACAATCTCCACCATCTCCTCCTTCACCGCCCCCACCGCAACAAGATGGCAAGGAAAACAACAATAACAACGAAAATGACAAAGGAAATGATGGTAGCAGCAACGGAGGCAGAAACAATTCTCCTCCTCCTCCACCGCATTCCAAGACTTCTGACCATAGCTCACCGTCGCCACCAAAATCGCTGGCGTCTCCTACAAGCAACGGTGGCTCGAATTCGTCAAGTAACGATCGTCAGAACATGGCTGCTGTTATAGGACTTGTGGCTGCAGCTGGACTTCTGTTCCTTGTCATGATATTGTTCTGCGTCTGTTGTTTGCGGAAGAAGAAGAAGAAGAAATCAAAGCTTGATCAGATGCCGTACTACGGAAGCAATGCTTTCGCTGCAGGCAAAAGTACGTATATACAAAACCACATTGAACCCTAATCAAACCCCGTTAGAATCTTTTTGCCATGAAAAAAAGCATGAATGTTGTTTCTTGTTAGCCAAGAAATTAGATGATCCAAATGAATCGACACTTCACTTTCAAACACCATCTCATAAACAAACCATGAACCTTAATCATTGCTTAACCTTTAGTTTGACCTAGTTCTACTTATTTTCTTGTTAACCAAGAAAAGCGTAAATTTTTGTTTCTTGGTACCCAAAAAACTAGGAAAATTCTGCAAAGTCTCTGAATCGTATTAACTTTTAAATTACATCTCATAATTTATTTGGTTGATGTTAGCTGGTGGTGATCAGTATTTCAATAGTGCTGCTACACAGCAACAACAACAACATTACAACCAAAATGATCACATTGTGAATCTACCTCCACCTCCTGGATCAATGGGAACAAACTGGGTGAATTCACCGCCGCCACCACCACCTCCAGGAAACTGGCAGCCAATGCCGTCGCCACCTGCACCACCAGTGTCAGGAGGAGGCTTAAATGTGATCAATAGCGGCGAGATGAGCTCAAATTTCTCATCAGGTCCATACGCTCCATCTCTACCACCGCCACACCCTGCAGTGGCTTTGGGATTTAACCAAAGTACATTCACTTATGAGGAGCTCGCAGCCGCAACTCAAGGTTTCTCAAAAGACCGTCTGTTAGGACAAGGCGGGTTTGGATATGTTCATAAAGGAATCTTGCCTAACGGTAAAGAGATCGCGGTGAAGAGCCTTAAAGCGGGAAGTGGACAAGGTGAAAGAGAGTTCCAGGCAGAGGTTGAGATCATTAGCCGAGTTCATCATCGACATCTCGTGTCTCTTGTTGGATATTGCAGTAATTCAGGAGGACAGAGGATGTTGGTCTATGAGTTTCTTCCTAATGACACACTTGAGTTCCACCTTCATGGTATGTAATTAATGATGAGTTTTATAGTGTTCTTGTGTATATATTTAAATAGCTTACGTTGTCACTAAATCAATGGAATTTATAGGGAAAAGTGGGACTGTGATGGATTGGCCTACTAGACTCAAGATTGCCTTAGGCTCAGCTAAAGGACTTGCATATTTACACGAAGATTGTGAGTGAACCTCTCTTCTTTTTTTTTTTTTTTGCCTTATGACTAAAATCAAAGCCCAAGAAAAATGACATTTATATGTTTTTGTCTGATAATTGTGTTAAGGTCATCCTAAAATCATCCATAGAGACATAAAAGCTTCAAACATTCTGCTTGATCTAAACTTCGAAGCCAAGGTATGCTTTAAATTAGTTGACCTTTTTGTTTCTACGATCTTCTCCATAACATTCCTTTCAATTGATCTCCAGGTTGCAGATTTTGGTCTGGCTAAGCTCTCTCAAGACAACTACACGCATGTGTCGACTAGAGTCATGGGGACATTCGGATACTTAGCTCCTGAATATGCATCGAGTGGAAAATTAACAGAGAAATCAGATGTTTTCTCATTTGGAGTTATGCTTCTTGAGCTCATAACCGGACGCAGACCTGTTGATCTAAGTGGGGATATGGAAGACAGTTTGGTCGATTGGGTGAGTCTATATTACTTGTACATTCATATTAATTCAAACTCAAAACAAAAACGAAAGTAAACATTATTTTTTACATTGGCACGCAGGCGAGACCATTATGCATGAACGCAGCTCAGGGTGGAGAATATGGAGAATTGGTTGATCCATTTCTTGAGAACCGTTACGAGCCTAATGAGATGGCACGCATGGTGGCTTGTGCTGCTGCAGCCGTTAGGCACTCTGGTCGACGCCGCCCTAAAATGAGTCAGGTAAGTATATATCTGACTATCATGCAAGGTTTTAATTTAAAAATTTGGTCA